AAAAAAAAAAAAAAAAAAAAAAAAAATCACAGGATTGATAGCATCAGCAGAAAGAGATACAGAATTAAATGTGAGAGTCAAAAGAGGATTCTTGTTTGAACCCATTCTATCTCCACAGCATCTGCAACTTACCTTAGTGTGATGTCTAAGGCAAGAATGCTACAGCTGAGACAATCACCAATTCATCAAGCTTTAACATATGCTACTCTTGCATTCTGTGCAAACAATCCTGTCTGTATGTTTTCTGGCCAATCTCAGCTTTCGAGAAACAACAGATACTGCAATGGATAATATCCATTATGCATAGCAAAAAAAATAAAAACAAGCTTTGGAACCTGAAAAAAAAGCAGTAAGAGCTCAATTTCCGATTTTATGATCCTCAATGGGACTTACATGGGAAAATGGAATCATGCAACCTGTCTGGTGAGCAACATTTTATACAGCAATCGGACTCAAGGAATTGAACTCTCAGGCAGGACCGTTACTTTTCAAATATCTGAAGTTAAAATTAACTTGTTAATGACAATCATCTTCCAGCCTTCTGAATCCAAACGTTACCATATCAAGTTGGTGCAACTTTTGAGACAGCTGCTCAGACATCTCATGCAGCTCCTCCTCTGCAAGAATATTCCTTATTCTTCGGCGAGGTAGAGGTTCATCTCCAAATAAAGTGCATACATCACCTCGATCTCTATGGCTACTATAAAAAGTAGTTGCAATTAGAAAAGACTGTAGTCTACAACTTTTACACATTCATAAGTCAATTTTTAAGCAATGGACAAATCAATTCCTACCACTTAGCATTTGACTTTTTGGGATTCTTCCACTCATAAGACTGGCATGTCTGTAGTTATACAATTCTTTGCCTTTATTATCTTATATCACCATCACATGGAAAACAGTGACAGAACTGAACAGTGTCAGCATGGGATTTACAAAAGGGAATTCAAGCATGACAAACTACTGGAATTTAGACAGGATGCAAGAAGTAGTGTTGATAAGGGGATGCGTGTGGAAGTGGTTTATTTGAACATTCAGAATGCTTTTGGCAAGGTCCCACATAACAGAATAGTGCGCAAAATTAAAAAGCATGGAATTGAGGGTAGTGTACTGACATGGATAGTGAAAGAACTGGTTGGCAGGCAGATAAAGTTGGAATAAATGGGTCTTTTTCAGTGGCAGGCAATGGCTAGTGGTGTACCACAGGACTCCGTACTTGGAACACAGCTGGTCATAATATTATTAAAGATTTGGAGGAAGGAACTAAAACGTAATATCTCCAAATTTGTAGACAACACAAAGTTGTGTTGGAGAGAGAACTATAAGAAGGTTCAGAAATGCTGTTGTGTGATTTGGCCAAGTTGAAACAGTGCAAATGCATGTTAGATGAAGTATAATATGGATAAATGTGGGTTATTCATTTCGGCACCAAAAACAGGAAGGTAGATGACCTGAATGGTATTAGATTAGGAAAGGGGTAGGGTGCAGCAAGATGTACAGTGTCCCTATATACCAGCCACTGAAAAACAAGCATGCAGGTACAGCAAGTAAGGTGGCAAATGGTTTGGTGACCTTCATTGTGAGAGCATTGAGTCTTGCTACAATTGTACTTGGTCTTGGTGAGACTACACCTGGAGTAGTGTGCAGTCTCATCAGAATGAGGATGGTCCAGCTATGGAGTTAGTCCAACAAAGGTTTTCCAGACTGATTCCTGGAATTGGCAAGACTGACATATGAAAAGGGACTGGATGGGCTATATTCATTGGAGTTTAGAAGAAGGGGATGGGGAAAAGTCAGTGGAATTGCTAACTGGTTCTGTCCAATGCCTCTTACTGATAAGCCCTCTCCAACAACTGCTGTTGAGGGAAAGAGTTTGTGATTGGAGGAGTTCCATAATGAGATGGTGATAATGAGGAAGTTACTGGGGGAACCAGAACCAAATGCTGACTCGGGTTGTGGGAGTGGGAGTGGAATAGAGGAGGAAGTCGTGGCAGTGGGAGAGGCTTGAGGCAGAATAAAGTAGGAAGTGAGAGAGAGAATAATGGAGAATGCAGCTACAAAGGACAGAACAATCTGTTCAAGTATGCACGTATGTGTGATAGATACACATTAGCTGCGATCTTACCTGTTGGCAGAATGTGTTTTGGGCGATGGTTGTGCGTGGAGAAGTTTGTCAATTTTTTTTGTTAAACAGACTTGTTGTTGATTTGTGCCTGCTGTTATGTGGCAATTTAAATACTGCGATGTCTAAGGAATTAACTCCCTTGTCTTGTGGCTTTAGATTTAATGGAGAATTGATAATTGAGGATTACTGATTATGTATCTATATGAGTCAAAATACCCTGTATGTGAACACAAATACAGACTGTATTACCTAATAAGAGTTAGTGACAATAAAACCCAAAAATTAACCTCAAATTGAGAGTCTCTTCTGCACATTTAGATGGACATAAACATTATTTTCTCATAACATTATTTTGAACAATAAGGGAGTGAACTCTTTTGGTGCCCTGTTCGATATCTGTTCCTTTATCAACATCACTAAAATGCTTCACATGAAAAGTTATTGTTTATGGTACCTTATCTTTGGTAAATTAGTTGTAGTTACCTACATTAACAAGTGTGACTAAACTTCAACAAGTACTTCACTTGAAGCACTTTTGGACATTTAGATGTTATGAAATGTGCAACATATAAAGGCAACTATTGGTTTTCATTTCCCCAGATTAATTTGTGAACAGTATTGCAAATTTAGGAAATCAAACATACAGTGAAAGGGAACTATCCTCATTCCTGAAGTCACGTTGGTTGCATGAGGACTCCCAATGGTTAGTCTCCCCATGTTCCTCCAAGACTGAATCCCACTGGTCAGTTTTACTCTGCATGGTCATTAATCTGATGTCCGGCTGGGTTTGAAAGGCAACACGTTTCTGTACGTTGTCAGAGTTCTGTAATACAAGAAGTAACAAGAAACATCTCCAAATAGTATTTACTTAGACAGTTTTATTATGGTTATAGCTGTAACATGTTCTTCAACTTGAAACATGGCAGGTGGGGTTCATGAGAGAGGGCTGGGCAGAAGATTCCAAATTCTCAGTGTCCTGAGCACAGCGTGCAAGTTTTTGAATGATCAATATAAAATAAAATAAAAAAAAAATCAAATCAACAGGCTGATCAATGGTATTTCCAAGGTTAGGTAAAACATTAGTCTCCTCACAGACATGGCATCCAAACCATGAAGGAATTACACAAAAACAACCAAATTGAGAAGTAAGTAAAAATTTTAAAAAGGTTTTAGTAGTGCTAACCCCGAGATGGGGAATGAAACAAGGTGAGAAAAAGACCTAACTAAACAAAAGTTGGCAAATTCACCCTGCTTCTGAATCCATGTCAATCAAAAATATTTCAGATGATGAGTTACTTATAACATTCCATAGATAATCCAATTATGAATCCTTCTACATCAGGAGAAAAGACTAGTGGAAGAAATACAAAAGAAGCATAGGATAGCTGCAACATTTGGACCTAATTCAATTGCTCCAGCAACATACAGGATCAGGAGATAGTTTTTATTTCCAGCCAATAAACCATTCCCAAAGTAACAAAAAAGGAGAGAGAACATAATAGAAACACTCAGGCCTTGCAGCATTGGTGGAATGGGAAGGAGTCCAGCATCAGTTCATTCAGTATCAAAACTGAAAAAGGTACATCGAAGGAAAGAACGACACAAAAAAAAGGAAGGTTTTCCACCCCGTTGAAAACCTGAGAAATGAAAGTGACAAAAAGAAATGACTACACAAGGCAAAAAATGTTGAGAGCACAAGAAAAGGATGGATCCAAAACTAGTAAATGATAACAGCTGAACTAGTTCCAATGAGTTGCCATAAGGTACTTGAAACATCAACTCTGTCTGTTCACAAATGCCGCCAGAACTGCTCCAGCATTCTGTTTCAGATTTCCAGCATCCACAGTATTTTGCTTTTATATCAGCACACCTACTACTGGCATATGCTATCAAGAAAAATGGTAGTTATAATCTGAAATTGTCAAATTTAACATGGAATTTACATAAAGTCTGTTCAATCAAAAGATGAGGTGCTGTTATAACAGTATATGGGGAAGAGGCTCAAGTGGGAGTAAATTGGAGAATTAAAGTGGCAACCAATAACTCAGGGTCATGCTTGCAGGCTAAAAGGGGGCATTCAGCAATGTTCCCAATGTATAGGGCCCGAATCATGGACAAATACAGTACATTGTCCCAACTGAATAAAAAGGTACAGTTCACTCATGTTATTTGTCTTTGATAGTCCGATAGAGCAGTTCACTAGACTAGAAGTTCACTACAATCCCTACAGTGTGGAAACAGGCCCTTCAGCCCAACAAGTCCACACCAACACTCAAAGCATCCCACCCAGACCCATCCCCCTATTACCTACCTAAATCTACACATCCCTTAATACTACGGGCAATTTAGCATGGCTAATCCACCTAGCTTGCACATCTTTAGATTGTGGGAGGAAACCAGAGCACCCGGACGAAACCCACGCAGACATGGGGAGAATGTGCAAACTCCACACAGACAGTCGCCTGAGGGTGGAATCAAACCCAGGTCCCTGGTGCTGTGAGGCAGCAGGGCTAACCACTGTACCACCATGTGGCCTTAAAAAAAAGGTTCTCAATGTAGTTATCCTCCATTCCAACAGCCTCCCACCTTTTACCATTTTGTTTAACAGTGCAGTCACCTTTGCTTGCCCAAGTTTAAGTTCACATCTGCAACCCCTAGAAATCGTATCACTATTATTGAACATCTACATGATTGGGTTTATCCATTCCGTCATTTTAGATACAAAAGGATCTTCTTTTAAAAGTAAACATCTTAGCTTTTCCCTGTAGTTCAGATTCCGAATCTCATGTATCTATAGGCTGCATTTGCTGCTACTACAATTGCAGTCACAGTGACAGTTATGTCACTGCCAGCAACACTGCAGGTTGCTGCATATATCAAACAGCAATATATTACGTGTTGGTCAATGACTGCCACACACCCAACCGTTGCTCCTCACTTATTACTCTACTTACCTCCCACTTGTTGCCTGCTCTCAACCCTTTAGCACTCACTGCCTCAGCCCTTGAACAAAGGTGTCAACAGGATGGCAAGCGAGACAGCAACTGGGCAACGGGTGCACAGTGACATCAGCAGCACCAACTTTTTGTTTCAGAGCAGTATGCGTGCACAATGATGATGTCAACAACATGAACTTCCTGTTCCAGTGCACTGGCAACAGATAGTGATACAACACAAAGCACGCACACAACAAAAAACAGTAAAATACAGAAGCTTAACAATGTTACAACATCCTGAAACTATTAAAAAGTGCAATACTAACTGCTATAGTTGTTTCTGCAATGTTCTGTGATTCTTGGTGCTTCGTTGCTCCATGTCTTGCAAATTGTGACTCCTGCGGTGCCACTACTTTTACGGAATCTACCAAAAACATTAATTTGAATAAGGTAGTTAAGCAATATTTAAGATTCTGTTCCCGTGCCTTCAACCCGTGATTAAGTTACATAGAGACACATTTTCAAATTTGCCTATTGTTAGCTTATCTCAGCTCAGCTGATGGGCAAAACAGTACAGCTGGGCTCATCTCATGATAGGGACATGGAACCGATTCATCATCTACACCTCCTGGAGAAGACAAAGATTAAGAAAAATACTGCAGATGCTGAAATTCTGAACTACAGACAGGAAGTCCTGGAGAAACTCCAGTCTGGCAGCATCTCTGGAGACAGAAACAAGAGATATGCTTCAAAGCTGACATAACACTTCTTTGGAAAAAAGGGAACAGGAAAAGTGATGGTCTTTATGCTGTTCACAAGGTAAAAAATGAACAGATGAGAAAGGTGCCCAAGACAAAGAAAGTAGGTTTCAGTATTAGAAAATTAGGAAAGAAAACTTGTACAAACAAAGTACTTGGTTGGGGATGGGGATGCTACATCAATACAGGAGGACAGAGTTCATGAGCAACTTTCGCAATTTCAAGGGGAGGCTAAACCTCATTGGAGACATTATGGTTATAAACAGGTCAGCTGCTAGTTTGTTTGATTTGTTTTCTTAATCCTTCACGTTGCATTCAAATGACTTTGCATTTCATTTGGACACTTGAAAACTATACACATTACCACCATCTTTAGCTGCTGCACAATGAACTAAGTACTTGATCACTCCTACCCTCTAAGAGTTTAAAATTCTTTGTTCCCTCCCATTGCTACTTGCTTAAACACCTACATTTGTATCCTTTAGTTCTGATGAAAGATCCTCTTGACCAGAAACTCTCGTTTCTCTGCAGATACCACTCGACTTGTCGAGTACTTCCAGCAAGTTTAGTTTTTGTTCCCCTCAACCTAGTGTTTCAATTTGATCACTTCTTGTTCATCTGAACACCAATGAGACCTTTCCCCAGAAGACAAATCTCTCTATCCCAGGAATCAGCGGAGTGAACTTTCACCAAATTGCTTCCAATGCAAGTATATCCCTCATGTTACCGATATTGTTAACGGCAGTGCAGATGGGTTCTTAAAGTCCCTGTACAGTTATGGAAACGCTGCCATGCTTTTATATTCCATCCCCTCTTACAACTAAAATTTAAATTTTTCTTCCTAAGAGGAGATGGTGAAATGGCGATGCCATTCTGGTAATCCAGAGGTCCAGGCTATTGGCCTAGTTTTTTTCTTCATTTCATTAATGGGATGAGGGCGTTGCTGGCTAGGCAGCGATTATTGCCCATCCTTAATTGCCCAGAGGGCAGTTGCGAATCAACCACATTGCTGTGGGTCTGGAGTCATGTAAGCCAGACCAGGTAACGATGGCAGTTTCCATCCCTAAAGGACATCAGTGAACCAGATGAGTTTTTGCCCACCAATCAATAATGGATTCATAGTCATCATTAGATTCTTAATTCCAGATAGTTTATTGAATTCAAATGCCACCATCTGCCGTGGCGGGATTTGAATCTGGGTCCCTAGAATATTATCTGGGTCTCTGGATTAACAGTCTAGCAATAATACCACTAGGCCATCGCCTTCACCTTTGGGTTCAATCCCACCATGGCCACTGGTGGAATCCAATAGCTAATCAATAGTGACCATAAAACCTATATTGTTTAGTTCACCTATGTGGAATGCAATCTGCTATCCTTACCTGGTCTGGCCTACATGCAACTCTATACCCTCTGCTTCCAAAATGGCATAGCTAAACAGGACCTGACATTGACATGGACACTGGAAATGACAACAAACCTAGCTCTATCAACTTAAAAAAAGTCCTCCTTATTGGGGCCCTGTGAAAATTGGAGAACTGGCCCACAGTCTAGCGAAGCATTAGCCTAACAATCATTGTCCCAGTCATCACCATTACATTAAAAAAAAGTCCACAGTGGTATGCAGTCTGCAGGGAGTTGGCCTGGGTATCCTCAACATGGTTTCTAGACCCATGGAGTGTCATGTCATCAGGTCAAACGTGGGCAAGAAATCCTTCTGGCAATTGCTACTTACTGCCCAGCTTTTGGCTGGTGAATCAGTATACCTCAATGCTGAACATTTTTTTTTTAAAAAGCGCACCCTGGGGACTTCAATGTATTTCACCATGAGTGGCTTTGTAGTACAGCTGTCCCTTGGGTAAGGCTGAGTTGAGGCAATCAGGGAACTCATTCAATGAGATCCACCTGGCCCCCCCCTTCCGATCACTACAGCACCTTACATGACTCAGGTACTGAAGCAGTTTATGTCCAAATGTGGCAAGTCCTGGACAATATTCAGGCCTATGCCAACAAGTGGCAAATTCGTACCTGCAAATTCCAGGCAATGACCATTTTCCATAAGAAAGAAACTAACCATCACCCTTTGATTTTGATACTATTAATATCTTGGGATTGCTATTGACTAGAAACTGATTTGGATTAGCCATATTAACAGTACCTACATCAACATGCCAAAGGCTAGGAATTCTGCAGTGAATAACACTTCCTAATTCCCCAAAGCCAATCCACCATCAACAAGACAAGTCAGGGGTGTTGTGGAATATTCCCCCAATACATTTGCCTGGATGATGTGAAGCTCTAACACTGCCAGAAGCTTGACACCACCCAGGACAAAAGCAGTCTGCTTGATAGGCACCACATCCACAAACAGTCACTCCTTCACCACTGAAGCTCAGTAATGGCAGTAGTACAAGATGTAATGCAGAAGTTCACCAAGGTTTCTTAGGCAGCACCTTCCAAACCCATGGCTACGATTAATCCAGGAGACAAGGGCAGCCGATGCATGGGAACACTGCAATCCCGTCTAAGCCACCCACTAGCCTGACCTGGAGATATCTGCTTCTCCAGGGTTGCAGGGTCAAAATCCTAGAACTCCCTCCCTAAAAGCACTGTGGGTCTACCCACATCAAAACAGACTAAAAGTGGTTCAAGGCAGCAGTTCAGCACAAGGACAGCAGCTGTTTACAATATATATTAATGACTCAGAAGAAGGAAGCAAATGTACTGTCGCCAAATTTGCACATGACAAAAATAGGTGGAAAGGCAGGTTACGAGAGGGATACAATAGTTTACAGAAAAATATTGATAGGTTAAACAGGCAGGCAAACGGCTGGCAATTGGAGTATATCATGGCTTTCTAAAAATATAGCTGAATGACCTGTTGAGTGTTTCCAGCGCTGTTTCAGAATTATCTGTAAATATTTGCAGACTAAATCTGGTATTCTAATCTATGGAACAGAGTACTCCTGTACAAATGTGATCAGGTGGTGAAGTAGCAAACAGGATTCTCACCTGGGGATAACCTTGATGGTGTCATCTCTGAAGGAATGTTTTCATGCGCATCTGGAGCCTTGAGAACAAGGGAATTTGGGATGTCAAGGAACAAAAAGATTATTTAGCATATGCTTCACTCAAAAATTGCAAGATATTAAGATGCAATTAACTAAAAGATAAGCACCAAAGAGAATGTCAGTACTCTCAGAACCTCTGATCTCACTAAATGCAGTTTTCCCATGTTCATCCAATCACAAAAACTCTTCCACATTATGACATAATCAAGAGGCAAGTATTAAACTCAAACCATGTTTACAAATTCATTTTTCAGAGCACTAAACATTTAAGAGGTTTATTTTTTGCATTTATTTCCAATGAGGCATTATTACAACGAGACATGCTATTCTGAATTCACTTTATTCTTAAACTCATCCTTTGTATCATTCTACTTATCGGATATTCTTTTCAGCATTTTCCCATGATGTCTTTTAAGTTATCCAAGAGCTCTGATTCACTAAGTAGTCTGTAGACGGTGTAACAGTTAACTGCGACAGCTTGATTTGTTCATTGTTTCCCCTTTAACTGTTCTTCACTCATCTCGAATGCTACTAAAAAAACTTTTTTGTTTATGTTTCAGCTCCTAAAGTGTTACGCCAGATATTGTTATTCTTTTTACAAACTTGTTGGTTCACTAGACCAAAGGAATGGTGTTGATTTTGACATTGAATGAGAGCTATTAACACCGTTGATCAGAGGGGTGTCAGGAAGATCAGGTCATTGCAGCAGTACTGCTGCACAGTCCCAGGTTATTTGTCCATCTGGAAGATTTGGTCAGTGCATTGAGTATAGGAGTTGGGAAGTCATGTTGCAGCTGTACAGGAGATTGGTTAAGCCACTTTTGGAATACTGTGTGCAATTCTGGTCTCCCTGCTATAGGGAGGATGTTGTGAAACTTGAATAGGTTCAGAAAAAGATTTACAAAAATGTTGCCAGGGTTGGAGGGTTTGAGGTACAGGGAGAGGTTGAATAGGTTGGGGCTAAATTTCCCTGGAGCGGAGGGGGAGGGGTGACGTTACAGAGGTTTATAAGATCATAAGGAGCATGGACAGAGTAAAATAGACAAGGTCTTTTCCGCAGGGTGAGGGAGTCCAAAACCAGAGGGCATAGGTTTAAGGTGAGAAGGGAAAGATTTAAAAGGGATCTATGGGGCAACTTTTTCATGCAGTGGATGGTGTGTGTATGGAACGAGCTGCCAAAGGAAATGGTGGAGACTGGTACAATTATAACATTTAAAAGGCATCTGGATGGGTAGATGAATAGGAAGGTTTTACAGGGATATGGGCCAAATGCTGGCAAATGGGATTAGATTAATTTAAGATATCTGGTCAGCATGGACGAATTGGATTGAAGGATCTGTTTCCATGCTGTATATCTCTGTGACTCCAAGTCTTCACGTATACTCCACTTTCTTCAAATGTTGAAAGGAAAAAGCCATCAATTGGTAGAACAAAATGCATTTCTTTCCCAGTTTTTTATACCTCAAATAATTAAACTTTTTCTCCCCTAAACCATCCCTACACTTGGTACTGTTCAAAGTAATAACTGATGTAGTGCTAAGAAATTGATGCAAAGAAAAATCTTTTTTAATCAATGGATTACAGGAATTAAGTTTTCATTAGTCTATTCAATGTAGGAACTCATAGTAATCAGGTTAGTGTGTCACGTTCCCTTTTCGACAGCCCAGTAAAGTCCTGTACTCCTAAACCAAAATAGTTTGTGCTGTCCCTTTGTGAATGACTATGGTAGCTGAATTTTAATTAGCTTAATCAGCTCAGGAGCTTAGGACAATTATTTTGATGTATCATGCTCCACATCAGAAGGCGCTATGGTCCCGATCCAAAACATCAACTTTCCTGCTCCTCTGATGCTGCCTGGCCTGCGGTGTTCCTCCACCTCCAAACTGTGTTGTCTCCACAAAAACCATGCCTCACGTACATCTCATCCATTCATAGTAAATGCTGTGGGACCTGCTATTTTGCTTAATTTGAAAATTCTAGCATGTGTTGTCCGTCACCACCCTTCTTTTTATTTTACTCAGTGTGAAAATTAAGAAAGGTGCACAAGTCAATATACAGTGAAAGCTACATTTACTGTGGAAGCACAAATGTTTTGGTATTTAAGAGGAGAAAGCTTAATGCAGGATCCACAAATATGGTCTGCAAATATAATTAATTACATCAAAAGTACATTCAAAACTTCAGCCTACTCACATTATGGACAGTGGTTATTTGTTTGACTTTCTGCTCTCTTGCAAGAACTGGAGTCCTTCTCTGAATAGTGGGTTGGTCTTTCTGACTAACCATTAACATTGTATCAGAGATAGACTGATAACCGATTAGATGTGCACCTTGGACTGTAGACCTATATTCAGGAGGGTGGTAAGGAGACTGCAAGGGAATGGCAGGTCGAATGGGCTCCCCAAGTTTCAGAGCATTAGTGATTGATCCAGTGGAATGATCTATGGAAGGCAGATTATCAACAGATCCTTTAGAACAAAAGAGGAAAAGATAATGTTATTTTAAAAAGTCTAGTACAAAAGCTGGCCAGAGGCCGTTTAAATGCACTACTAATGGAATATTTGCCACAAATGGCATCAAGTTAAACTGTGATTCTCCCAAGTTTTTGAGTGGAATATTCACATAATTCATCAGGAAAAATTATAACATGTAATATTGAGCCTTGTACATTATACATGGCCTTTCAAAACCAATTTTTCAGTGTCATCAGATATAAAGGTTGGACATTTTCAGCAAGGTCATGGGTGCAGGACAGATTGAAATGGATCGTCTTCATGAATCATCAAGATATCCAGAACCAGTGCCCTATACTGGGCTTAATAGTGACACTAATGTTTTAGCTTGAGCCCCCATAGGAGAGGTTTTGGTAATGCTGGCAATCAAAGCTACCTGCTGCATTGGATAACTGGTCTGAATCCCCATATTAATCCACCAACAGCACAACAGTATTTCAGGAAAAAAAAACGTTTGGAACAAGCAGTCCAGGGCACATCTCTCACGATGCCAGTCTTGGACCAAATTTTGATATACAGGTTATTACTTCAGCTTCTGAGAGGACCATTCTTGTTTTTGCTCTGGCTTGCTATTTCTGCATTTCTGAGAAGTTGAGAATTACCTACATTGTGAAATTACTGCAATTGTACAATATTATCCAATGAAAGCCAGAAAATAAAAAAGTTTTAAATTATGTCAAATAGCTTCAATGGTAAAAACCAGAAACAAGCAGCTTGTGTGAAACACACATCATGCTGCCTCAGGTCTAGCACTAAAGAACTTGAGCCATCGCTAATGAGTTCAGGTGAATAGATTTAAACTGAATGATAATGTTTAATTTTTACTTCATGGGATGGGGGAGAATAAACAGAGCTGATGTTTCAGATCAATGACTTTTCAGGAGAACGGAAAAAATTTAGAGATTTTACTTTTGTTTTGTACCATTTTATACTTCTCCTTCACCTGCCACCTCCTCATCTCAGTCTTTCCTCCCTTTGCCACCATTTCCAGCCTTTGTACTTAGCTTAAAAGCTCATTGTATCTTTTTCCTGTTTTATTAAAAGACTGCTGACCTGAAACATCATCCCTTTCCACAACTGTTTGTCACTTGTATTTTCCTTTCAGGCCACATTTTTAATTTATTCATGGAATGTGTGCATCACAGGTTAGGCTAGTACTTATCGTTCATGCCTTAATATCCAGAGGATAGTTAAGAGTCAAACACTTTGCTGTGGGTCTGGAGTCACATGTAGGCCAGACCATGTAAGGATGGCAGCTTCCTTCCTAAAAGGACATTAGCGAACCAGATGATCTTTTCCAACAATCAACCATGGTTTCATGGTTATTGTTCTAGACATTTACTGAATTCAAATTCAGCCATCTGCCATAGTGGAATTTGAATATAGATACCCAGAAATTTACTTGAGTCTCTGGATTAATAGTTTAGTAACTAATACTACTAGGCCATCAATTCCCCATTGCTCAGAAGAAAAGGATCAGGCTGCACAGTAAGGGGGGAGAAATTGAGGGAGTCATGGGATACAAATTCAGAAGCTCCTAGTCAAAAACAGTTAGAGCAGTCTCCCAAAAGGCATAATTATTTGTAAAAGAAAGTCCAACTTTCTCAACCAGCTAGAGAGCACTATTTATAAACAAATATTTTGTTTTGACTTACTTCCTGGTTTCATCATTTCTTCCCCATTAGTGTCAGGTACAGATGCAGAACCAAGAGGAAAGGAGCAAGTTCCATTTTTCCCTTGGTCCAATATTTCTAACTTTTGTTCTGATTGCTTGACATTCTGATGATATTCAGACAGGTCTCAAGAAAGCAAAAAAGACAAACAATCCTTAAAAAGGGCAAAATACAAATTTATATAAAAAAAAACTTTAAATTGCATTAGAAAGCTCCAATAAAAATGTAGTAATGGAAATAGACAGAGCATTTTTTAAAATTAAATGCAATACAGCATAACTAATGTAACCACAGGCCACAATACTGGATTTTATTGAAAGAGAATCAACAATTACCTGCACTCTTTCTATGGCTGTATGTACAAGCAGATTCACCAAGCCGGATAAGCTCATTGGTGGATTCAGATCCAGCTCCATCCCAGGTAGTAGCAGATGATGATGAGCTAGACCAGTTTAAAAAAAATATATAAATCATTTTTTAAAAAGTGAGAAAAATCAGATTACAGTTTATAATTGCATGCAGGTTTTGACAACCCATTTAAAAAATTGGCTGGGGTGAAGAACATTAATAGGCGCAATTGCAAAAAAAGTTTATTTCGATTTATCATATATGTAGAACAACTCAACTTATTCCAGTCAATTAATGTTTTGATGTCACCATGCCAACATTAATTACAACATAGGACTGCTTTGTAGTTATTCTTAGAACCAGTTCTTTTTTTCTCTCCCCAAATTCTTTAATCGGATGTGGGCATCATTGGCTCGGTCAGCTTTTATTGCCCATCCTCAATTATCCTGAACAAGGTTTAGCAAGCTGCCTTCTTGAACAGGTGAAGTCTTTGGAATCAGTACATGAACAATATTATTAAGAAAGGAGTACCAAGATTTTGAACCAGCACTAGAGATCACCAAAAAGATCATTAATAATAAACAAAGAATTGTTGATGTCAGAACAAAAACAGAAATTGCTGGCAAAACTCAGTAGGTGAGAGCAGAGTTAATGTTGAGTCTGTTACTCTTCAGACTTTTCAGCTCCAACGTAAGGATGATGTATGGCTTGGGTGGGAACTGGAAAGTATAGTTCTACCCCGCAGCTACTGCCTCATTCTTCCAGGTTGCAGAGTTTGCAGGTTTGGAAGGTGCCTAATGTGGCTTGGTGATTTATCTAACTACATCTTGTAGGTGTTACACATTGCTGCCACTTTGCTGTGGCGGAGGGAGTAAATGTTGAAGGTGAAGAATGGTGTGCCAATAAAGCAATCTAGTCTTAGATGGTGCTAAATGTTGTTGGAGCTGCACTCTTCCATGCAAGTGGAGAGTGTCATGGACCAGACCAAACCCCCTCAAAATATATTAATATGGCAGCCTAGACCCCAATTTTTTCTTTTTTTTTAAAAAAAAGGGGCAAATGTAAAGCGTTGCATTCTGGATGCAATTCAATTGGTCAAACTACCAGGGTTGAGGAAAAACACACTATTCTTACACTATAATTAAAATACAAACAAAAGGAAGAATTGGAGTAACAACTGTATTGGAAACTTAACAGAATAATAGATTATTTAACAAATAAACAGCTACTATTCCAATGCAGAAACATCCCATAAACACACCACTGGCAGAGGCAAATTCAGTAAAATAGATTGTCTCACAGGCAATGTTTCTACAGTCCAGGAGGAAAGAACATCAAAAGAAAACTTTAGCAGAGACACATACAGACACTCCAGACATGTTGCTGTAAGAAGGAGAGAAGTATAGCAGCTTTCAAACCCCAACAGCTACTGAAAGTTAAACTAAAATCCTGGTCTGTGGAGCTTCACCCCACCCCTTCATGCTGTTTTAATTGTTCCAATTTTTACAAAAAAAAAAAAGGCCTCACAAGTGGTTTACTTTATTGTCTTGGAACAGAGCGCTCTCCACCTTGGAATCAATTTCCCTTCATAAAAAGAAAAACAGGACAAAATAGATCTTAAAGCCATAGTATCATCACAAGAATATCCCACCATACTCATAACTTATGCCTCATGGACAGATTTTGGACACAAAGTTACCTACCACAAGATTTCCAGCCTCTGGTGTAGCCACAGTATTTAGATGGTTAGTTCAGTTCAGTTCACTAGCTCCTTCCTTTAGTGGTACAAGCAGCCCAATAACTACACATGCGACAATAAGGTCTGAGGCACATTTTTACAAGCATACTTTAAAGTCATTGTTCAAGATATATCACCTCCATTATGTTCATTCAAAATAAGAATCAAAAATCTTTGACAAAACACAGCAGCCAATTTGCAAAACAGTTTTTCTTTAAATTAGCAGTGCTGGCCAAGATAGACGGTGTGCAGGCCTATAATCCTATCTCCCTTTTAAGTAATGTCATAAAAATCTTTTATATCCAACTGAATAGGTAGGCAACGGGAGGACTGTGCAGCCACATTGTCAGTCCTTTTATGTAATGCAAGTGAGTATGTAAAAGTTAAAAAGGGGCCATGCATCCAAATAAATCACCCTTTTTTTTTCAGGCCCAAAACTTTAACTTTGACTTTTTCTTCACAGATGCTGCCAGACCTGCTGAGCTTTTCCAGCAACTTCGGTTTTTGTTCCTGGTTTACAGCATCCGCAGTTCTTTCGGTTTTTACCCATTTTTTTCCTTCATTGCCTGTTGCAGGAGTTACAAAAGATCTGACAACACAGCATTCACTTAGTGCAGCATTTTATGTGGCAGCCTAAGTTGTGTACTCTTGCCTTGGAGCAGGATTTGAACCCTCGAGTCTCTTAAATATTTGAGAGAATACAACTGAGCTCATACTGACGAAGAAAGGTCACTGGACCCAAAATGTCAACTGATTTCTCCCCACGGCTGCTGCCAGACCTGCTGAGATTTTCCAGCAATTTCTGTTTTTGTTTCTGTCAAAGCAATTGTTCATCGCTTGCTGTACAGAAGTAATGAATTCAGGAAATAATATATTACTTAGGTTCACTAAATTCAAAAAAATAGATCCTACACTTTTGATGAATGTGCTCCTGGATCAGGTACCCTCTCTTTGTACAAGTCCCCAAGTTCTTCTTGAAGTACACTTCTTATTACAGATATTGCTTCACTGGACAGCAAATCAGGATCACCTATTTTAAAAATACAAGATTAGAGAAAAAGTTCAGATTATAATTTTATTTACCAAAATAAAAAATGGTTTCATTTCTTTTTTTAAGTTCTCTCTGGCATTTTTTTCCTCCTCTCATCCTAAAAGCATTTGTCTTCATGTAGTATCAGTCATAATTCAGTACTTCAATCGGTTAGTAGTCACGAGCCTTGACAAGTTAACTGACTGTATGGAGAATTCTAGCTGAGACTAATGCTTCCTCATCAATAAGGTACACCTCTTAAAGTTTAGCCAGTTAACTTACAGCAAGAACCAGGTCTACATTTTCCACTTCTTAAGCAAGACACATGCCAATTGTATCATCTCCTCTAGTTTCAGCAGAGACTAGAAACATCAGTGTAGACTGAAGATCAGGATTTAATTTCCTGATGTGACAGTCTGTCTGTGCCCGCATCTGCTGGGGGTTTTGGAGGGCTGGTTGCCATGCTGGCCAGTAGATGATAACTGGAATTGGAGCCCAGAGAGTGCGAGAGAGCAAAGAACAGTTCAGCAGACAAAAAGGAAGGAGTAAAACGGTCGGCCTGGGAGAATCCTGGTGACCATTAGTGGTTGAAAATGGGGTGTTTGTGGTAGCAGCCTACGTGATGACAAGGACTGCTGCTGGGTGTTAGACAAGGACATGGGAGAAGGTGCTCAAGCCCTAAAATTGTTGAACTTGATACTGAGTCCAGAAGGCTGCAGGGTTCGCAAGTGGAAAACGGGGTGCTGTTTTCCCAGCTTGTGCTGAGCTTTGCTGCAGCACCTCAGCCAGCCTGAGACAGATGTTGGCAACAGAACACAGTGGTGTGTTGAAGTGGCAGGCAACCGGCAGCTCAGGGTCATTTTTGTGGACAAAAAGTTTGCGTTCTGCAAAGCGGTCATGCCGTCTTCACTTGGTCTCCCCAATGTACAGGATACCACATCGTAAGCAGCAAATACAGTAGACTGATTGGGTGAAGTGCAGGTAAAGTGCTGCTTCATTTGGAAGTGTGCTTGCAGCCTTGGATAGTGAAGAGATTGGAAGTAAACGGTCAAGTGTTACACCTTCTGTGTTACGAGGGAAAGGTGCCATGGAGCCGTGCGGAGGTGTTGGGAGTAGAGGAAGAGTGTACCACTGTGTTCCAGAAGGAATGATCCCTGCAGAAAGCTGACAAGGGATGGGAGGGAAATGTGTGGCTGGTGGTGGCATCCTGCTGGATGTGGCAGAAATGGCAACTAATGATCCTTTGGGAGGTGAGTGCTGATGGGGCAGTAGGTAAGGATGAAAAGGACCTCATTGGTAGTTGCGAGCCGACGTTCGGCAGATGGGTCAGATGCAGCTGAGAGCCCTGTCAATCACAGTAGTGGGGAATCCTCAGTTGAGGAAGAAGGTTGACATTTTGGTGGCCCTCTTATTGATATTGGCATCATCGGAATAGAAAGAGTCATAGAGCTCTACACTTTGAAAGCAGAACCTTCGGTCCAATTCGTATTTTCTGACCAGATGTCCTAAATTAATCTAGTCACATTTGTCAGCATTTGGCCCATATCCCTCTAAACCCATCCTATTCATATACCCATCCAGATGCCTTTTAAAATGTTATAATTGTACTAGTCTCCACCATTTCCTTTGGCAGCTTGCTCCATACACACACCATCACTGCATGAAAAAGTTGCCCCATGGATCCCTTTTATATCTTTCCCCTCTCACCTTAAACCTACACCCTCTAGTTTTGGACTTACCCACCCCGGGGAAAAAGACCTTGGCTATTCACCCTATCCATGCCCCTCATGATTTTATAAACCTCTATAAGGTCACCCCTCAGACTCTGACACTCCAGGGAAAATATCTCCAGTCTATTCAGCCTCTCTCTCTATAGCTCAAACTCTCCAATCCTGGAAACATCCTTGTAAATTTTTTCTGAACCCTTCCAAGTTTCACAACATCCTTCCTACAGCAGGAAGACCAGAACTAAATGCAGTATTCCAAAAGTGGCCTAGTCAATGTTCTGTACAGGCGCAACATGACCTCCCTTGATTACAAAGTTAGGGTTGGATCCGAGAGCACGGAATGTAGCCAGTTCTGAGGAAGATAGGTTGGAAAGGCAAGGTGCAGGTGGGGGTGGTGCAGAAAGAGGGCAGTGAAATTGAGGGGAACAATGTCATGTCAACAGGTTTTGATGAACAGGTTGAGTGCAGGTAAAAGGCCAGAAGGAGGGGTCCAGGTGGAGGGAGTGTGTTGGAGGCAGGTGAAGTGTTCTGTGGGATGGGGAAAGGACTCTTATTTGAAGAAATGGGCACCGAAGTGAACGCAATGGAAGAAAAATTAAACCGAAAGAACCACAGATGCTGTAAATCAGAAACGAACACAGACATTACTGGAAAAGCTCAGCTGGTCTTGTAGCATCTGTGGAGAGAAATAAGAGTTAACATTTTGTCACTCAACCCAAAACATTAACTCTGATTTCCCTCCTCAGATGCTGCCACACATGCTAAGACTTGTCAGCAATTTCTGTTTTTGTTGTTGCTGAAGAAAAGTTCAACGTCATGTTGTGCCTGAAATTTATTAAGGTAGGGGTGCAGAGGGATAAATCTAAGATCTTTGAGTACAGAACATTCAGCATTAGAGAGAGAGGTCAGTGTGCATATGGCAATGCTTGGCACTTTTCCTTTTATGAAGGAGGCTGCCTTGCACAGACTGTGTACAAAGTAAAATTCAGAACCAGCTAAACTTAAAAAAAAAACAGGTATTAAACACCGAAACAAACAGTTTTGTTTTAATTGCAATTCTGAGGTATTGCTGACTGGGTCATCCTCAGTTACCCTTAAGAAAGTTGTGGTGAGTTGCCTTCTTGAACCTTTGCAATGCACATGTAGGTATACCCGTGGTACCTTCAGAAGGCAGGCCAAAGTTCAGATTTACATTTAAGTTGTCATAAAAGTGGGTTGTGATCAATGACCAAAACATTTTTCAAAGATTAGTCAAACCAGGAAGCTTGTCATTCCACTGAGTTTATTAAAATTACATTTACTTACCGTGCTGAGAGGAAGCCTCACTTATCTGTTCTGTGAGATATTCTAGCAAACCATCAAAGATTTCTAACAGATTCCGTATACTTTCTTTGTCATTCTGAATAATATTCTCTCCTGAGCAAGAGAAAAGAAAAAAAAAAAGCATAAATTTACACAAATTCTTTTAGGCAAATTAACTTTGCGTTACCCTTAAGTTATGCCCATAATTCTGATACTTCGATGCAACTGAGGACAAAACATTGAATAATTGTTTGTTCCAATTGTTGCAAATGTTAATAACAAAGGGCCTGAAAATCAGAAAGCAAATTCTGAACACAGCTCTTTACTCATGAACATTAGATAAATAATCCATTGTCTGTATTCAATTAAAGCTGTGGGAACTGTGTTTCTCCCCCAAATCATGTTTGCCATTGAGGTTAAGCCTTATTTATTACTGACCAGTTATATGCGACAAACTGATCTGTAAGTAGTCCAAAGCCAATGAATCTATCACTGCCTGTACATTATGGACATCATCTTCCTGACTTTTGGGAGTAGCTATGTAATCTGTAATAGATTTAAAAAGTTACATGTTACAACTTTTCATTGAATATATTGCACAGCATAATAAAACTTTGAGATCACTGTGGTATTAAACAGGATTTATTACAAATTAATTATCAATTATGACTTACTTACCTGGGACCTTTTCACCAAGAATGGCTTCGTAAAGGGCAATAAATACACCTGCATCACATTCACAAAGCTTTGTCACCCTCTGATTAATACAGCACTTGCGAAGAAGATTATTGGCAACAGTAATCCAATCTAGAACAATGGGTCAAAGTAACAAAATTAGTATACCTCACAAAATTTGTGTTAGGCAGTGAGACAGATTAATGTAAATAACAAAATAGCATGTATAATCTTCCAAAGAAGATGCAGCTCATTGAGCCAAGAGTACTTTTATTTTAAAAAAAAACTATAATGACACTTAATAGGCCAGGATTAAGTAAGAATGTATTGGTTTGGAAGCAAAACAGAGAAGATCTACTTGACTAATACCTGGAAAGGGCACATTGTGTTCAAGGAAGGTTGGTTTGACAAGGCTTGTATCTGCCAGATTTAGAAGAGTGAGAAGTGACTTGATTGAAATATAAAAAACTTGAGGCAACTTGACAGGGTGGATGTTTCCTTTTGAGAGAGAATCTAGAACTAGGGACCATCATTAAGATAGAGATGAGGTGAAACTTTCTGAGGGTTGTAAAGTTTTTGGAACTTTCAAAGATGAGGGAACAGAAACTCTGTATAATTTTAAACACTGAAGTGGATAGATTCTTTTCAAGCGAGTGGGTGAAAGATCAGAGGTAAATGGGAATGTGGAATTGATGTTCTAACCAAATTGGCGATGACCTCATTATATGATTGAGCAGGTCCAAAGAAGCCATATTGCCTAATCCTGCTTCCAACTTGCAGCTTTATACAAGTTCAAAATACTACCATATTCTCCTTGTCGATTTTTATGTTCCTGATGTTGTCCAGGAATTCCTGTGCGAAGTACGTGGAGTGGGTCGATCCATTGGTGTGATGTTTTAGACTCTGTTTTAACTCCCTGGCTAGCCTGTGTGTCAGTGTGCCCAGCAGGGAAACTATGGGTTTGAAGGCGATGTCAGAATAACCATGGGTTCACCCATCTCGGGACTCATAGCTAAAGCTGTTATGCAAAGACTGGAGCGCACAGCCCTCCCCCAGATCCAGCTTAAACTATGGGCTAGTTACTGGACGATACCTTCGTGATCATTAAACAAACAAAGTTAGAAAAAACACTCACCACCTTATTAACAGCATATTCACCGGGATCAAGTTCACCAGGGAAGAGAACAACAATCAACTCCTGTTTCTAGACGAATGAACAAACAAACAACGGGGAATTCCTTACCAGCGTTTCCAGAAAGACTATGCATACAGACCAAATCTTGAATTACAACAGTAAACATCCCAGCGTCTACAAACAGAGCTGTGTCAAGACTTCATTTAAACGAGCAATAACTCACTGCAACACCTTGGAGCTGCGCAAAAACGAAGAGGAACACCTATATAAATCGTCTTTGCAAAAAATGGTTATCCTAACAGCTTCGTCCACCGATGCCTGGCAAACAAACAACCCAAGAAGACGCTATGCCACCTTATGTTAGAAACACATCAGAACTGACTACAAGAGTCCTACAACATTTTGGAATAAGGATAGCACACAAACCAACAGCCACACTTCACCAGCTACTCTCAAAGATGAAAGACCCCATACCCACATTGAACAGGATGAATGTGATATATAAAAATACCATGCAGCAACTGCGAGAAACACTACATAGGACAGACGGGCAGGAAACATGAACACCAACTCTTAGCACAACAACACGACCAATTCTCCCTCATTTCAATACACTCCGACATAGAAGGACGTCAATTTGACTGGGACAAAGTTACAGTACTAGGGCAAGTGAGACAAAGACAAGCATGAGAATTCCTGGAGGCCTGGTTTGCAACCACCAATGCAATTAACAAAAATGTTGAAACAGAACCCATCTGCACACCACTACGGTACACCAGAAACAAGACTGCCAGCCATTACAGACAGGACCATATAAATTCAGAGTGGGACAGAACAACAGTGCTTTAACAGGGGCTACACAGTATCAACAATGTCACCTAGAAGGGAAACGAAATGTTTGCACAAAAACCAGTTGGCTCAGCGAAGCAACCAACAACTCCAACTTAGCAACAATGCCGTCAGCTTCTTTGTCCACATCATTAATGTATGACTTGAATAGTTATGGTCCCAACATTGACCCTTGCAGAACACCACTAGTCAAATTTCTTCAAATGATTAGAGTCGTGTTCTATGGACTAATGATTATGTCACAGTTACGACTTATTAGGTAATAAAATCCAGTTCGACTGGAAATGAGTCAACATTTATATAATGCTTTCCACAAGCACTACCAGCCAACTATCAGCTACGGATTTTGGCAAAACTCTGGAAACAGATCATCTCTCTGCCCTCAGCGTTCATGAAATAGAGCCTTGGCATGTGTTGTAGCCATCATCTCATTAAAGTGATCAGAAACCTTTAGAAGTTGTTAATTTTGGGTCCTGCAGAACATTCTCATTATACTTATAAGGATATACACTTGATTAGAATACAGTTGTAACAAGAAAATATAAGGAAGTGTGATTTGTTTCTTAATTTGTAATAGCATTACAGACATATAGCATTGAAAAAGGATAGCAGGAGAAGTGGGACAATGAAAGAGCCAATTGATTAAATATAATGAAAGAATTGCAGAAATAAAAGAAAGATCAAGTAGAGGCCGCAAGGTTCCCAAAGGAATCAAAAATCAAAGATTGCTTGGGTCTTGTGTGTACACTCTCAAATACTAGTTGAGAAAAAAATTGGTGTTTTGGTTTATGTAAAGTTATAATAAAGGAATACGATCAGATAGAAGATGTAGAATAGCAGTGCCCAAGCTTTTCAAATGTTGGCACTGAGCAACAGTTCAATCTCGCTCTTCCTCAGGTCAGCAAAATTCAGAAACATAAGGATTGCCACAATATAAAATTAAGCTTCGAAAAATTCAAAGGCAACAAATTGGTAATTTAGTTAATAAAAATCACCATTAAAAATACAAAACAACAAACCTCATTAATAAAGCCAAATCTTGCCAAACAATAAGATGTAGAGGAGAGAGAAAGAGTGAGAAAAAAAAAATCAGCCCCAATACTTGATCACCGGGGAGGTGGTGGTGGCTGGGACCAAGCACTGGGCGAGGCACACACTGAGCAGACCTAGGTAGAATTGACATGAAAATGGAGGTTGTAAGTTGACTTTCAGCATAAGGTTTGCTCCTCTCATCCTGCTTTCCCTCCATCTTTTCCTTCTCCTGTACTCACCCCTTTTCCCTCTTTCTCTCATCCCTTACCCATCCCCCATACCACTTCTCTTTGTCATTCTTTGCACACATTTACTTCAAAAAAAATCCATGGGAGTTTGTAATTCAAAAATTTCCATAATCGTTATCCCATCAAACATTTTACACTGGAATAGAAAGTGTGCAATTTGTTTTTCATTCCTCTCCACTGCAACAGCCTCTCCCCTGGGATACTTTGATATAATCTGGTAAAACAGATTTCTGAGTAAGGATTCCCATTCTACCATGTGCGTACAAGCACAGGGTTCAAACTAATTAGATCATCAATTAGTCAATTGGAATCTCAGTATCTTGACCGAATGGACCAAAAAAAAGGATGCAGTAATACAAATCAGGAGGGCAAAAAGTTAAAATCAATGTGCAATGTTTTTGGGAAAGACAAATTAATAGGAATGACACAGCAACCTGACTATCGATCCTATTAAACCCTTCTACCATCACAACCTGACATTGTTCCTCTACACAATCAAACTCTCACTGCCTTCTCCCTATGTTGCGGCACATGCCCTTCAAGCCAAAATCTCCTTGAAAGCCTTGTATTCCCAAACATGGCCTGTGAAATCACCAGTACAGCTTCCATGCCTCAGGCTGTTTGCAGCTGCCAGTAAGGCAAACGTCAGGCCACATGAAATGCTTTGGCAGGTTGTGCACAGCACGCAGCGCAAAGATAGTGCACCCCCAATTAGAAGACACCAAAGATGTGGTAGTGTTTCAGTCCAGGGGTGCAGGTACTTTATAGAAATTCTAGTAACAAGGCATAAACTGGGTAATAATGCTGGATTATACTTTGTAAACTAGTGATATACTGCTACGCCTCAAATCTCACATATTGAGAAAGATTGTATGACTGCCACGGATCACTACTTATTCATTGGCTACATAAAAAAAACATCAAAATGAAGAGCTAACTAAATTATGCTCTAGGAGGCCAGCTGTTTTTCAATTAACCAGTAATTTTTCCACAAACGAGCATGCATTAAGCATTTATCCTGCCTAGTTGCTCAACACTGCACTTCCAAAAGAATCTATTTGTAAGTCAAATTATTCTATCTCCTTGAACATCTAGATCTGACATAAAATTGAGCATCATCCACACTCTAGTACATAAATGGGTAAACATTAAAACTTAATTAAAATCCCAGTGATCTTGGATTGTTAAATTTTCTGGAGTGCTTCAACTAGATTTGTGTGCACTGTTCCACATGTAGATGCCCTTTGGTGGTCAGAAAGCAGCCTCTATTTGCGGAACTATTAATTAATGAACTTTAGTGTCTGCCTAAAATGGTTATGTAATTATTCCTGCCTAAAGCTATACACAGCTTAAGAATCAAGTGACGTGTTGTTTAATCTTTACATTTTGTAACATCCTGATGGGTATATTTAATACCAACTGGACACATCCACTTTAGAAGAGCCCATCTATTGGCTTCAAACACAAGCACAGTTTGACAATGGACTTGATGATGAAAATCAGAGAGTATGTTTGCTGGTTAGTGTGACTTTTGCACTCATTCATGGGATGTGGGCATCATTTGTCAAGCTAGAATTAATGCCCATCCTTAGTTATCCTTTGAAGGTATTAGTGAGCTACCAAGCTGAACTGCTGCAATCTATTTGGTGTAGGTAGTCCCACAATGCTGTTCAGGAGCAAGTTTACACATTATATTATTGTAGAAGCCACATGTTCTGGCCTGACAACTGGTGTTTTCTGGTCCATCTGATCTACATCAGAGTAATGGAAAAAAACTAGGGAGAGTACACAGCCAACATGTTCCAATAATGACAAAAAGTGGGACCAACACATTCTATGAACCCTGGAGACCAAGGGATATATAGGATTGGCTAAAGAAAAGAAAGGCTTATGGCATATCAGGAGGGCTCAAAATCCCACAAGCCCTGGAACAGTACAGAATGTGCAAGGGAAATTTCTTCAGCGGGAGGGTGGTTAATCTGCAGAAGTCATTGCTGCTGAAGACTGTGGAGGCCAAGTCATTGAGTACATTTTAAGACAGAGGTAGATAGCTTCTTAATTAGTACTGTGAGCAAGGATTACAGGGAGAAGGCAGGAGAATGGGGTTAAGAAACATATCAGCCATGATTGAATGGTGGAACAGACTCAATGGGCCAAGTGGTCTAATTCTTCTCCTATATCTTATAGAAGACATTACTAGTGACCAGTCTTGAAGCAGATCCTAACCATTTACTCGACATTCATCCAACATTACACTTAAAAGTACTTCATTGACTGTAGTGCTCCCGAATTTGCAATTACAAAAGCTAATACATATGAATTTACTGAGATAGCAAGAACTGCAGATGCTGGAGTCAAAGATAACAAAGTGTGGAGCTGGAGGAACACAGCAGGCCAGGCTGCATCAGAGGAACAGGAAAGCTGACGTTTCGGGTAGAAATCTTCGCAAGGATGGAAGAGTGGTAATGGAAGCATTTGAAAGAACCCTGGGAAACAGAGCTTGGCTAGAATATGCTACGCCACAACCAAAACGGAAGGCGCAGTACCACACTCATCTTAGGCAAAGGCAAGAGGGAATAAAACCAATCGATTCCTTTTAAAAGGCTACTACTAGCTTCAACCCCCTCTAAGTAAAAGGTTGTTTCGGACATTACACCAATTCCTCTCTGTAAGTGCATTAAATCTCGGGGGTTAGGGTGACTGGTTGGAAAGAGATATGAGACTTTGCAAGAACTGGTATTAATAGGAAAGTATTGCATAAAGAATAAGGCAAACTGAATTGTAATTTAGTGTTGGACTGACAATCGTATTAACAAATAGCATTAGGGTCACTGGACTCGAAATGTTAACTGGTTCCCTTTGCAGAGATGCTGCCAGACCGGTGTTTCTCCAGCATTTTTTGTTTTAATTAAAAAATATGCTTGACGAGGACCTCCCCGATCATTATTTTAACCGATAACAGACGCCTCTAAACAAGCTTCTGGTTACCTTGACACTGTTGGTTAGGTTAGGAAGCTCGAGTTCGATTTATAATGACCACCACACGCAAATATTTTATATTACATTAAACGAATGTTTTCCTAGTGGAAAAGTAGACTATAGCTAAATACATCGTTGTGTATGGGGAGGGGGAAGCTAGAAATAAGATAATTTTTGCTTGACATAACTCAAATCATTTCAAACAAAAAGTGACAGTTAAAAGACGTGGCAGTAGACTTGATTAAAAATCAAAACACTGGGAAAGTTTGTTGGCAAAGTTGTCAGCGCGGCTGCTGGCCTACAATTGAAGCCGATTCGACTGCGACCGACCTCTCTCGTCCTGCTCCTCCATCTCCAGCGGTACGGAATAGAAATTCTCTCTCCTTCGACAGGACACACAACAAATGCGAAGTAAGAAACACTAATAGCTCAGTCACATCGGAGTCACAATTAATCAGTTTGTTGTCAGTCCACTGCCATAGCCCTGGACCCTTGTACATTTAAACCGTCTCCGGCCGCCCATTGGCTCTGGGCATGACGTCACCAACCGCCCACCCGCGGAAAATGTCATTACACCCAGCACCGCCCCCCGCCTTTTTATTTTTAACTCTTTTTTAAAAAAAATCACAAATACATATTCCCCCCCATCTGTCACCGGCAGCGTTCGTATGAATATTTATTATTTAATCATCGTCATTTTCGTTTGTTTCGTACCCTCGGTGTCGTTTAATTGACGTCACCCAGTCGCCATGGGGAAGAGAGTGCTCCCCCTCCTCGCTCATTTGTAATCGTCAGCGAGGCAAAGTAGGCCCTGTCAAATCGAAGATGGGCGATGAAGTTTCGTTTAAAATGCACTCTGCCGCCAGAAAGCTGGAACAATTCGATTCTTGAATAGTTGGGTAACGGTATGGGGAGGTTGAAGTGACAAAGGGGTCCGCACATATTTGGGTCAAGAAGCAGCTACGTAGATTTGAATTGCGGAGGGATATGCGGAATGAGTTCCGGGCTCCCCCTTGCCGGCTTTGACTAAAGGCGGACAAGGAACCGGCATTTTAGTTTCAGCTTCCAACCGGCTTCCTCCTTTTCGTCTATTCACACAGTCAGCTCCACGTCGAGCGTCAAGCATCTCGTTTGCAGTCCTTTCCTCCACTTTTTCGCGATGCCTGGTTACGATAGAGGCGATCGGAGTCGGGAACGTGGCGGGTGAGTTTGTGATTTTTTTTCCTTTTGCGAAAAACGCATGTTCAGTTTTCTATTAAGCTGCAATTTTTTTTTAAAAAAAGCCGGTTCCGTTCTGGAGGATGAGAAGACGCTGCCGCCACGCGCTCCGCTTAGACAAAATCCTGGCTGGTGTGGGGAGCGTGATTTGGGTTTTTTAAAAAAAAACGTATAAAAGCAATTTCTTAAAGGAACTTCAGTTTTTTTGGGAGGGGGTTCTAGCCAGTTAAATATTCTTCTAACTTGCTATTTATTTTGGTCTTGCCGTAGTCTGTTTTTGTTTATTTCTATATTTCGATGCTCTGTTTGACCTCGTGTTGCAGGTTTCTTCCTTGTACTGTATCTAAAATGGCCGGGAGATGCTGTTTTTTGGGGGTGGGCAAAGCTGATCATGGATGTTAGAGCTACCTGGCAAAAACCTTACAGTCTTGTGTCGACAGCCTATTTTTTTTTTTTTAAGTACACGTCTGCTATCGTCTTTCCTCTTTTTTTTTTTTTTTTTGTTTTGTTTTTGAAAAACGTAATTTTTTTTTCCTGGAAAAATATTACATTCCAGGTTCGGTTCGGGTGGACCTCGCTTCGGTGGTAGCAGGAACGCGCCTCCGCCCGGCAGGAAATTCGGGCAGCCGGGGGAGAAGCTGAGGAAAAGAAAATGGGACCTGGACGAGCTGCCCAAATTCGAGAAGAACTTCTACGTCGAGCACGTAGATGTGATGAACCGACCTGTGGTAGGACTGGCTGGCTTTTTTCTCCCCCCCACCCCTAGATATACTCGTTAAACTAAATACTGCTAGTACCGGACAAAATGGTAATCCTTTCACTTAAAGGAGACTATAAGGGAAACAATGTGCTTTGGCTTGGCAAAGGTGGTGGAGGATGTTGGGCTGACGTTTGTAGCTGATGGGGTCATTCTTGAGTGAGCTGGTGATTCATTCCTATTAGTCACTAAAGGGCCATCTTTGCCCGCCCACTGAAATATACATAACTGCTGAACAGTAAGGTTTATAGTATATTTTCAGCTAATGTTTGGTATCCCCCTGGTGGACATCATCTAACAGACAAGGGAAAATTACAGACATAAGTCTTTAGCCTTTTAAATGAGGAAGTATTAATCAATGCTGATGGTGGTTCTTGTACTTGTTTCAATGAGTTGAACTTGGGCAGATTACTACATCTGAGCTTTTGTGCCTATCAAGTTTTCAGTTTTCCTATTTTAGATACATAACTGGTGATTATGTATCTTAAACTGTAAACTGATTACTATGGGATCTCTATTGTGAAGGATGACCGACTGGAAACAAAAGCAGAAATTACCTGAAAAACTCTGCAGGTCTGGCAGCACCAATGGAGAGAAATAAGAGCTGACGTATTGGGTCCGGTGACCCTCCTTCAGACTGAAGAAAGCTTTTTCTGCAATCTCTGCTTTTGTTTCTGACTTTTCGTTTTGGTTTTATTTTATGGTAGGTTGGAACGCTCCCTAATTGACTAGGGTTGGGGCTAGATTTATGGATTGCACTTTTTTACATGACTGTTAAATGATGTTAAACTGGATTTGATGCTGTTGTTGATTGCAGCAAGAAATTGAACAATATAGAAGAAACAAAGAAATCACAGTAAAAGGACTTGCTTGCCCTAAACCAGTTTTCAACTTTGTCGAAGCAAGTTTTCCAAGTAAGTATGGAATACAAGTGCATTAGAGCATCTGTGACTATACAATTCAAGTTAATGAGGCAAAGCTGTGCTTTTATTATCAGTCAGTTGTACAGCAGGGAAACGGACTATTTGGTCCACACTGACTATGTTACCAAACTGAACTAGTCCACCTGCCTGTTCTTTCCTATTCGTAAACTCGGGAAGGATAATTTCTAACTTTTCTGAACTCTCCCTCCCTCCCTCTTAATAATTATCCTTGCTTTGGCATGATGGCCAGAACTGTATACAGTACTTCAAAAGAGGCCTCAACATCCTGTACAATCCCAACATGATAGGAGTTGGCTATACTCGGAAGTCTGAGCAATGAAGGCAAACATGCTAACTGACTTCTTAACCAACCTGTCTACATGTGACAAAAACAGAAGTTGCTGTAAAAGCTCAGCAGGTCTGGCAGCATCTGTGTAGAAAATATCAGTTAACATTTTAGGTCCGGTGACCCTTCCTCAGAACATGTGAACAATGTCTACGTGTGATGTGAATTTCAAAGAATTAGGTACCTGAACCCCTACACCTGTTCTACAACACTACTCGGGGCCCTACTGTTAATTCTATAAGTCCTGTCCTTGTATAAATGCAAAACCCCACGTTTATCCAAATTTAAACTCCATCTGCCACTCATCAGCCCATTGATTCAATTGGTCAAGATCTTTGAAATCTTAACTTTCTTTTCATGGCTACTCTGCTGCCAATTTTGGTGCCACTTGCAAACTTACTAGCCATGTTTGTGATACGCTGTTTTCTCTACGTAAAACCATCCCTAATCAATTCTGTCTCTCCAAATGCATGAAAATCCTATCTTTCAGAATCACTTCAACATACCCACCACTGATGTCAGACTTGCAGGTCTATAGTTTCCCGCCGTCTCCTTACAGCCTTTATTAAACAATGGCACAACATTAGCCACCCTCTAATGCTCTGGTACTTCACCTGTGATGATGGATGATACAAATATTTCTGCTAGAGGCCCTGCAATTTCTGTCCTGTATAATATCTTATTGTGGATTTTATAGTAAATGCTATCATGCTATTTTTAGATGTGATTTAGGGTGATGGTCAATACCTCATGCTGAGTTACCTGCAGCACTAAACTCTAGTGAATAATTATTGTGGCCGATGGGGAAATTTCAAGGGTGTGGTATGTTTGCTTTAATTACCAGATCTGTTGTGATCATTTTCTAAAAATTTTCTTCTGTTTCAAACAAATCTCAGCAGATTGAGAATAGAAGCCAGCTCACCAAGGAGGTTAACAATATTGACCACCATCCAATGTACATTGGAGTAATGTTGTAGGGAATGGCAGGAGGACAAGAAACACTAAGCTATACCCAAAATTTGAGCTGCCTGAAACCAGTTAATACAGGTTACAATGTCATTATTAACTGTTCAATTCCAAAGGATGATAGGAACAGCTCTTGAATGTTGGCAGCTGTCCTGTCAACGAAGTAACTTGGACAGTGACCAGTATTTAAGGATCTTGTCTTTTTCAGAGCCAATGGAAAATTTACTGTTAAAGGCAAAGTACAAACACTTTATTGCTAGGGTTAGTGAAAATGTTTGCAATTTAAAAAAAATTTCTGTTCCTCTGCTTGTTCTGTAGCATACGTATTGGATGTTCTCATGCAGCAGAATTTCACAGAGCCAACTGCTATTCAGGCTCAAGGTTGGCCTGTTGCACTTAGTGGCAAGGATATGGTTGGCATTGCGCAGACTGGATCTGGTAAAACATTAGCTGTAAGTATATTTATGCCCTGTTAACTTTTTGAATCATGTTTTTGAATTTCCATTCAAGTCCAGCATTTAACCTCCTGTCCCACACTTCTACTCTTTAATGCAACTGATGGTGGTGCTATGTTCTAGCATTTCTCATTGTTTTAAGGGTCATAGTGTATAGTAATGGGGAAGATTTGTAATTTGTGTGATGACTCCTTTACAACCCAAAGTACGTTTTGAAGTGTAGAAAATGCAACAGCCAATCTGTTCATAGTATGATCCCAAAAGAATTGCATGCGATAAAGAAACTTCTAAGATGCTATACATTGGCAGGACCTGAAATCCAACGTTTCCCTTAAATAGTATAGTGGTGTCTCTCTTGTACAATGTCTTTTGTTACATAAAAGTTTTCTAATTTGCTTTGTCAGGTGCAGTAACTTTGGCTATAAACTGTGTAAATCCTTGGATTTCAACACTTCAACTATCTTGCACCATCTCTGCATTCTTTAATGGTTTTCAATATGTAGGAATCTATTGTTTTTTTTAAATTTGATTTGTATTTAACGATAAGCCTCCACTGTCCTTGGGGTGAAGCAATTCCTCCATCTTTGTCCTAAATGACCCGCTCCTTGTCTGTGGTTCTAGTACCCATCTGAAGCTAGCTGAAGGGGGTTGCTGAGAATGTCTGTCTGTCTGTCTGTCTGTCTGTCTGGTACCCTGACAATCCAATTATTCACAGTTAATGATATTGCTGAACATTTTAACTCTAGGATTAAATCTTACCAATTTTAATTTCATTTATAGTACTTGCTGCCTGCCATTGTCCACATAAACCATCAGCCTTTCCTGGAACGTGGAGATGGTCCCATAGTAAGTGCCTTTTGTA